AGAACCATTTTAACAAATCAAATTAAAAGATCAACAAGAGCAATTCGACGTAAATATACTAACCTGCAACAAGATCTAGTGAATGAATGATGGAATCGTGATATATACAAGCAGAAGTGGGATCAGGCATTGCAGCAATTAGAAAATAAACAGGCATTTAATGAATATTGGCGAGACCGAATATGTGATAGATATATAAAATGGAAGAATAAAACTAAGAATGAGCATATACAAATACAGAACTGTCAAAATGAAAGAGCTCTTGATGAATTTTGGCAAGATCGACTATATGATCGGTATAAAAAATAGAAGAATAAGACTAAAGATGAACGCCAAATAATTCTGAATCAAAATCAGAATATTTTAAATTTATAGCAACAAAATTTTGTATTAGTAAATAATCAGCAAAATCAACTGATAGCATTACCTGTAGGATTTGCACAACCAGAATTTCATGGTGATAATAAAGATCATGAAGATTTCGTAGATAGGTTCATATCATATATTACTTTGGCTAGAGTAAATAATGATGCAAATATTCTTACCATATTAGATCGATCCTTAAAAGGAGAAGCGAGAGAATGATATTATAGAGAATTTGACAATAAAAATTGGGAGTTAGGAAATGTACTTGATAACTCTGGTATAGGTGCAACAATAGCACATATTCGTGGTGCTAATGCAGGAGGTATAACGGGTGCAGTCGCTTCTTTTCCAAATGTTCTACTTGGACTTACAGGTGCACAAATTATTCCTGCTCGAAATGTTGCTGAAAATTGAACAATAGCAGGAGAACGCCCAACTAATGCAGTACTAGTTGCACCAAATACTGGAGGAGGTATTCCTATTATTCTAGCAGGAATACGATCTGGACAAAGGCTTTGGTGGATAAAAAAATATTATCCAACTGCTAATAAATATGTAAAGATGTTAGAAATTAGAGCATTAAGACAAGGCATATATGAGAGTGTATCTTCATTCTGGGCAAAAATTCAGAAATATAGCGATCAACTCGGTTATACTCCAGCACAGAAGAAAACCTATTTCTTATCTAGAATTAGACCTGATATTAGAGATGAAATTTATAGAATTGGTCAAACAAAACCCATTAACGATATTATTGATAGTTTGGAAGAACTTGAATTACGTCATAGAATATTACAACAGGCACCATCTCAACCTCACCATGCACCTATTGCTCCTGCTATTCCAGATGTTATACCTCAACAACCCGCATTCCCTATGGCTGATATGCAAAAAATGATTCAAGATGCATTTGCAAAACAGCGAGCTGAATCTAAAGCTGAGATAGAAAATTAAAGACTGAACTTCAAGCACAACAACCACAAGTTGCAATAGTAGGAAATTTTCAACCCCCACCCAAGTTTTATCCTATAATATCAGAAAAATCTCGGCAAGCATTTTACATAGTAGATCAAGAAGGTAATAATATAGATCTACTTACCTATCCAGATTATCTTAAATACCTCAAGCAAGCAAAAGCCTTATTTAAAAAACTACAAAGATCCAACCAATCTGTCAGAATGGATATAATAGAAGAAGGGTTTAATGAAACTTGAGATACTATAAATCAGTTAGCAGACCAATTACAGAAAAAAGTGTATATAAAGAAATATGGAATTTGTAGAGAAACAGGCTATAGCAAGAGCAAATGCCCCAATCAACCTACGGTCCAATCTAATTATACTCGATCATATTTTATATCTCTCAAGCCAATATATCCCTAATACACACTTTCTAATTCAGATGATAGCAAGGAGGATGAAGGTGGGTATAATGAGGAAGATAATCAATAGCATGCCCTCCATCCTATTTAGAAAAAAAAAACGGATATCACCAACAATAAGTAAGACATCACAGAATAAATCAGTAATTTTATGCAAATCTTTAGTTACAGAATCTAAACAAAATGAAAAAGGCACTATGCAAACCTTTTTCCAGAATTGGATGACCAGTTATTAGAATTATTATCTTCAGCAATGTGAAAAAAAATTATTGACCCATCTACAAAAAATAAATGGGCTGAATCATTTGAATATATGTAGTGTAGAATTGAAGATATAATTATTCTGGATGGGTTTGCCGATATAGCATCGGGATATCTTGTTATGAATAAAACACTAAATGAGGCATTAGGATAGAATCTTGGGATGGACCAAATTTTTCTCTTAGACATAATTCTGATCATATAATGAAATTAGAAGGAGGACATAAGGATGTACCAATATCTATAAAATATAAAAATAAATGGGTTACTAAAACAGGACATGTTGTTGTTATTGATAATAGAAAACCCGATTACTTTCTTTGTTTAGGAACGCCATGGATTCGAAAAGTTCAAGGAATTCTAGATACAAACAAACATGAATTTCAAATGATAGTTCATGGAAAATCTTATATTATTCCAACCTTTACTAAGCCAATCAAGGAAAATATTTTATCAAGCCTATTTATTTGATTAACCCTTATTATATTTATTTCTTATTTAAGGTATTCATTTTTGTCTACTAATCTGGTTGTATAATCTTGTGCTTTAGGCGTATTTCCAGCCGATTTAGATATCTCTTGTATTCAGGTTTTTAATTTTGTTTCACGTTCATCGAATTCTGATATTAATCTATCTTTATTAGAAATTTCTTTGTCATTCCTTTTATTTTCTTCCTCGAGTTGGTGAACGATTCTTTTTAATTTTGAAATTTTTTCTATTAATTCTTCTTTCTCTTGTGTAGAGAGTTCAATAGTATTATTTAACTCTTCTTCAAGAAATCGTATTCTCTCTTCTGTATATCTATAACCCTTTCTAAGGTATATAGACGTTGTTCAAAATTTCTATTTGATTCCGCTAATTGCGATACTACCTCATAGAGTTCTTGGTTAGTTTGTTGTAACTCGTCCATTGTTTTTATCACTATAATAAAACAAAGGAATGGAAAAACCGATAATTTATATTGACCCACAGAAGGCTCGTGATTTGAATAGAGAGATTATCTTGCAAAAGCTATATTATAAGCCTGAAGGTTATTATCAGACTGCTGAAAAAATGCATGATGCCTGTAGAAAGGCTAGATATAATTTTTCATTAGCCGTGATAAAAGATTGGTTAAACAAGCAAGCTATTTTTCAGATTCATAAGCCTCGTCCTAAGTTTATTCAATATGCTTCTTTTAATACTATACATGATTTAAATGAAGTACATCAATCGGATACTACTCCTATGCCCTATGATAAAATTGGCAATCGAATTTACAAGCACAGAGAAGTAATAAAAGATGTAGCAACTAGTTTCTGTAAAAGTTATGCTTTAACTAATAAGTCATCGATATCATTAGCTAAAATGTTTACGAAAATTTATGGTGATCCGAATTGTCTCTTTACCTGGCCTAAAGTTTTAATTGTGGATAAAGGTACTGAATACTTAAGTGAGTGCAAAGATTTATTACTTAGCCATGATGTAAAAATTTAGTATACTGTAACTAAGGAAGGTGTTGCTATCACTGAGCATGATCATCAAGAATTTGAAAAACATGCTTTTTATAGACAAGATGCTGTAGATTTTTGTTTACCATTAACTGAGAGATGTAGAGCTTGGGTTAAAGGTCTTCGTATAAATGATAATACTTTTAATAATACTGTTACTAGATTAATACATATGACTCCTAATAAGGTTGTAAAAAGAGTATTAAAAGGTAAAAAAATATTTGCAGAGCCGGTAGTAAAATATAGAAGACCTGTTAGATTTGAAGAACCATGTTTGTTTTATAAAGATTTTGTTCGATATTTACTTAAACCTGGTGAATTAGAATATGGTTTACCTATAAGACGGATTACAGATAAAAATTGGTCTCCTCAGGTTTATCGGATTGAAAATACTTTAATTCGTGAAGATCAACCTGTTATATATAAATTAGAAGATGGACCAGAAAAAAAAATTGTTCGTAAGCAATTACAATTGATTAAGAAAGTTGAACTTCCTCCCACGTGGGTGCTTAAATAATAATTTACTCAT